CCCCCAAAGCCCCAGTAGATAGTTGTATGTCATAGCTGCACATCCTTCTAGTTGCTGTATGTGGGACGCGGCCTCAGCATGGCCGGAGAAGTGGTGCGTCCGTGCGCGCCCGGGATCCGAACCTGGGCCGCCAGCAGCGGAGCGCACACACTTAACCTCTAAGCCACGGGGCCGGCCATGTTTACATATTTTAAATAATATATATGCATGCTATCCTGATATGTCATTTACTCCTAAATATACCTGAAAATTGATATTGTAAAGGATGAGATGAAGAAGAAATAATATTTTAAAATATTTAAAATTCTATCTATTAGTATCAAAAATTTTTGCTCTTTCCCCCTAAAAGCAGTTGTTTTCCCATTGGTTGTTAAAATACCAAATAAAATACCTTTATCTTGAGGGAACAGATCAAGTAAATTCATCCTTTTAAAGACCTTCTAGGCACTTGACTGATGGCCACTTATCAACCCAGAAAGGTCAATGAATTTGGAATATTAATTAGTCTTTTGTGAAAGAAAAGTCATCTTAAGTTCACCTCTTTTAAGTTTTTTCCTTGGAGATGATCCGAGAACGTCTGGGTAATACAAAAGGTGTTCATAGTAACTCCCCGTGTAAACAGAGTACTGTAAAGACTCTACTCTGTAAAGGATGTGTGTCTATCAAAGTGACCACATCAGGGATGTCCCACAGCACACAGACCAGGTAGCTCTGACTGAAGGTGAGTGACCTGCTGAGGCCGACTCTGGACCCCCCCACTCCAGACATCTTGAATTGGGACCCTTGCCTCTCTATTAATGGTGTCAGTGACACTTAATGTGTCTTACTTTTCCCCAGTAAACATCAGCGGAAGTGCTAACGTTTTCCTCCAGCACCTGGGGACTGCCTCATGCACCCCAGCCACACACCTCAGTCACATGCAAGACTCATTCGCCAGAGGTCCTGAGGGTGGAAGCCCCATACCCTGGGTGGGTTGACATGATGCCGTGGCTCACCTTTCGAGGTGCTGTGGGCAGTGGACTCCACAGACGATGTTATTTTGTCTTAACCCAGCAACCCTCATCAAACTGACAGACCCTAAAAGGTCTATGCAAAGAGACCATGAGATGATTGATAGCACAACTGACCCCTCTCCTCCCGGAGCCCTCTGACAGCCACTCGACATCTAATCATCTCTAACAAGAAAGTAGCTGGTGAATGTTGAAATCATCAAGAAGACAATTCAAAATGTGGGTTTACATCTACTGTTATTAATGAGGAACTTTGCCCAAGTGCCTTGTGGTACTAGCCAGTGATGGCAGTCCATGTATATAATTTACAAACAAGGTAAACATCAGTATAATAGAGGTGCTTACTGAATATCTTTGTCTGATGGGTTTAAGATCAAAATAAGCATGGAGCATAGGCCATCTCTACTGTCTCCTCTGCCCACCCTTCCTGTTTGTCCTAAAAATGCCAGTGTGGCCCTCTGATCTGAGCACCCTCTCCCCATGGTGTTCCTGGTGCTTTGCCCACCCCCATGCCTTCATCTAATCTCCTGTCTTTGTGCTTTGCCAGCACTGTCCCCTCTTTCTGGAATGCCTTCATGCCCTCCCTAGGTAGGCACCTCATTCCCTGACCTCCATTCCCCTGCAGGTGAGTATGAGAACAAGGGGCTGATGATAATCGATGAGGAGGAATTCCTGCTGATCCTGAAGCTCAAAGACCTCAAGAAGCAGTACCGTACAGAGTATCAGGACCTGTGTGACCTCAGGGCTGAGATCCAGTACTGCCAGCACCTGGTAGATCAGTGTCGCCACCGCCTGCTCACTGGTGCGCCATTTGGGAAGGTTGGCTGGGTCCTGAGGTCCTGGAGGCAGAAGGCAGGGCCACTGCCTGGGTTGTAGGAATGGTTTCAGAGCTTCTCTCTGGCAGAGGCAGGGGCTGGGTAGGGGCTTCAGATGTGTGTTTCTAGGACTCTGAGGGCAGGAGATGGAGATGGGAAAGGGTGAGACCCTGGAGCAGGAAGTGAACAGATGGTGAACTATGACAGGCATAAAACAGACAGACAGTCACACAGCCTTTACCTGCTTCTTCAGGGCCTTCCCCACACCTCACAGTGCTGTCTCCCTGCCTCCTTGCAGAATTTGACATCTGGTACAATGAGTCCTTCTTCATCCCCGAGGACATGCAGGTGGCACTGAAGCCAGGTAGCAGCATCCGGCCAGGCATGGTGCCTGTCAGCAGGATCGTGTCTCTGGTGAGTGGCACAAGGGCAGGGGTGGGCATGATGGATGAGCATGGGGCAGTGGTCAATGCCCCTTGTCCTCTGTTCTCTCCACAAACGTGGCAGTGTACGGGCTGCTCCCAGCCTCTCCCACAGCCAGCCCAGGCAGGTGGGCAGGTACAGGTCTCTCCCCAGTTATTGATGATGGGAACACAGAAAACACCGCTTGCTGCTTCCCTTCTGGGTTGGCTTATCCTTCCCAGGTGGCAGTTACAGGTTGTAATAATGCTAGCAGACATAGGGCTAGGGGGTTGTGAGCTACACTAGGTGGGGGTTTGCAAACCTAGTGACGGGCTGCCCTGATGCCCACCACAGGCCTTGTCAGAGTGGATCCTGACAATGCCAGGCTGAAGGGACTGTGCTGAGTTGGGCCTCCTCTAGGGAGAAGATGACCAGGACAAGTTCAGCCAGCTGCAACAGATGATGCTGCCTGACGGCCCTGATTCCGTCTCCTTCTACAATGCCAAAGTCAAGACAGAACAGAAGGTAACTCTAGGGGTTGATATCTCCAGGAAGGTGGGGCCTCAGGGACCTCATTAGTAGGAAGGACACCCACTCCTCACTTTAGAGAGGCGGAAGAGGAATATGTCAGCCCAGAGAGATCCAGAGTCACCCAGAGTCAGTGGGTATCTTCTGCCAACTCCAGAGTCCTGGGACTAGGCTGGATCCAGTAGGGGTCCCAGAGACCATGGCCGGGCCTGGACATGGCTAGTGAGTGCTAAGCCAGCCCATGTGTGGTTCACAGCCCGGGACAAGGCCTAGGGATCCCCTGAGGTCACTGCCTGTTGGGGAGGACCTCTCCGATGAGGGCCACGCTACAGAGGTGGCAGGGGACAGAGGACCACATGCAGCCAAGGCAAAGCTAGACAAAGTTGTTGGCCATGGGCCACGCCTGGTCCTGTACTCTCTGAGCAGGTTGGACTGGAGCAGAGGGTCTTCATTCTGCCGAGGCCCAGCCTGGAGCCAGAACACAGAGGGCCTGTATGCTGTGCACTTCTCTGTGCCCAGAGGCAGTTCTTATATAGCAGGTGGCAGATGCACATGGGGTCAGTGCCCTAGTGAGTTCATTCTTTTAAAAATATTTTTGTGGTATTTATTTACATTTTCAGTAGGTGATACATTCAATTTAAACATTAAAAAGAATGAAAGTACAAATACCTGGTCCCCCATCTGCCCAGCTCTCATCAACCCCCTCTGACAGGGAACCCCTGTTGCTTGTTTCTAGTGTTCTCCCTGCATATTGTTCTGCATCTTGCTTTTCTGCACTTGCTTAACAGTATATCCTGAAGATTGTTCCTTGTCAACCCACAGGTGCTTCTGTGTTCTTTTTTACAGCTGCATAGTAGTACTCCATTGCAAGGAGGTATCACAATTTATTTAACCCATCTCATATTGAGGGACATATAGGAGGTTCCATTTCTGAACTATTACAGATATTGCTGTGATAATTAACCTTGTACAAATGTGAACTCACACATGATTGAATATATGTGAAAGGTAAATTTGTAGAAGTGAATTTCTTGGTCAAAAGGACATTTGTATTTTTGGTGGATGGTGCCAGGAGCTGGACCCATTGGCAACCCCACAGCAGCATATATGGGATGCTTGTTCCCCAAGCCTCACCACAAGATGTATTATCCTGCTTTTTGTTTTTTTTCCAATCTGAAAGGTGAAAAATGGTCTCTCAGTGTAGCTTTAACTTGCATTTCTCTTATTATGAGTGAAGTTGTGTTTCTTTTCGTGTGTTTAAGGGCCATTTTTTTTTTTAATTTATTTTTTCCCCCCAAAGCCCCAGTAGATAGTTGTATGTCATAGCTGCACATCCTTCTAGTTGCTGTGTGTGGGACTCGGCCTCAGGATGGACGGAGAAGTGGTGCCTTGGTGCGCGCCCGGGATCCGAACCCGGGCCACCAGCATCGGAGCGCGCGCACTTAACCACCAAGCCACGGGGCCGGTTAAGGGCCATTTTAATTTCTTTTCCTGTAAACTGCCTGTTCATATTTTTGCCCATTTTTCTATTGGTTGTTGGTCTTTTTCTTATAAATTTGTAGGATCTCTTGATATATTGGGGAGATTGGCTCTTTATGATATGAGTTGCAAATATTTTTCTCTTTGTCATTTGTCTTTTGGCTCTACTTATGGTTTCTCGTAGTTATTTTGTTGATTTTTATGAAATCAAGTGTATCAGTCTTTTTTTTCTTGGCTTCTAGATTTTCTGTCGTAATTAGAAAACCCTTCCCCGGATTGAGTTCATTCTTTACATTTATAGTTAAGCTGACACCTTTAGTGACCTTGATGGCTGTGAGGAGCTGAAGCCCATTCAGAGAAGCTTGAATGAAAGGGTTGTTAACACGGATTCCGAAGGTCACAGAATAGCCCTTCTCACCCTGTGCGGTGCACTTGAATCACCAGGGGTCTTGTTAGATTGCAGATTCAGATGCAGCAGGTCTAGGGTAGAGCTTGAGATTCTGCATTTCTAATAAGCACTCAGATGATCCCATGCTGCTAGTCCAGGACCACACTTTGAGGAGCAGGCCACAGAGCTCATCTGCAGGAAACATGCTCCAGGCTCCTTTCCCTCCAGGCCTTTTTTTGTCCAGACCTGGCCTTAGCTTCTCCCTGAGGTCTGCTCCTTCCCCAGCTGTTCTTCCCACCCCAGCTCTCAATTTCTAGCCCCAGTCTTGGCCCTGGCTTGCCATTATTTTCTAAGACTTCCCAGCCCCAGTGTCCAACATCACCTGACTACTTATTTTGTGTCTCTCCAGAGAGAGAGCATAATTGGCTCTTCTTGGGTTAAGTGTACATTCCTGGTCCAATCAGCTGTGGCTTGGGGCAGGGTCACCTGCTCACTCCAGCTGCCTGGGGCCACTCCTTCAGCAGGAGAGAGGATTGCTTTACCCAGGCAATCACTTAGCCTTATCTGTGAGCATCAAGCTTTATTAACCCTGGCCCCTGGAGGGAAGCCCAGATCAGTGGACAGCCCTGCCACACTGGAAAGTTTTACTGGAACCCAACTATTTTGGCTGGAGAAGGAGACCCTGGCCACAATGCTGTCATGTACTGCATTGGCTGACTCCAAAGAGCTCGCTCAGGGTTGTCCATGAAAATCTCTCTGTGGGGAGGCTGGGCTCTCCCAGAGCATCTGGGAGAGAATGGAGTGGGGACAAGTAGGCCTAGGCAGCCAAGCCTCAAAGATCATTTGACTGTGACTACCATGCAGGGGCTTCCTTCTCTGACCACAGAGAGACCTGCCCCTGCTGGACTCAGAGGAGGGGGCACATGGTGTGAGGTAGGGGTCCAACTTTATTCCTTCACATGTGAATATCCAGTTTTCCCAGCACCAATTGTTGAAAAAGTGATTCTTTCTCCATTGAATTGTCTTGGCACCCTTGTGGAAATTCAATTGACCATAAATGTGAGGGTTTATTTTTAGACTCTCAATTCTATTCCATCGATCTATATGTCTGTTGTTATGCCAGTACTACACTGTCTTGATTACTCTACATTTGTAGTTAGTTTTGAAATTGCAAGGTATGGGTCCTCCAACTTTTTTCTTCTTTTTCAAGATTGTTTTGGCTATTCTGGGTTCTTTGCATTTCCATACAAATTTTAGGACCAACTTGTCAATTTATGCAAAGAATCCAGCTGGGATAGGGGTTGTATTGGATCTATAGATTGCTTTGGGGAGTATTGCCATCTTAACAGTATTAAGTCTTCAAATCTATGAACACAGGCTATCTTTCTATTTATTTAGGTCTTAAGTTCTTTCAATGATGTTTGTAGTTTTCAAAGTGTAAGTTTTGGACATCTTTTATTAAATTTACTTCTAAGTATTTTATCCTTTTTGATGCTGTTGTAAATGGAATTGTTTTCTTAATTTCATTTTTATATTGCTCATTGATGTATATAGAAATACAGTTGATTTTTGTATATTGATGTGGTAGTCTGCAACCTTGCTAAACTCATTTATTAATTCTAGTAGTTTTTTAGTGGATTCCTTAGGATTTTCTATATCTAAGATCATGTCATCTACAAATAGAAATAGTTTTACCTCTTCCTTTCCAATCCAGATGCCTTTTATATGTTTTTTTTGCCTAATTTCCGCAGCTAGAACCTCCAGTACAATGTTGAATATAAGAGGTGAAAGTGGACATCCTTGTCTTGTTCCTGATCTTAGGGGGAAGGTGTTAATTCTTTCACCATTAAATATGATGTTAGTTGTGGGGTTTTCTTAGAAAAAAGAAACTTCAAGCAGCACTTCCCACCCTGTGCTGTGCACATGAATCATCAGGTTGTTAGAATGCAGATTCTGATGTAGCAGGTCTGGGGTAGAGCCTGAGATTCTGCATTTCTAATAAGCTCCCAGATGATGCCTATGCTGCTAGTCCAAGATTACACTTTGAGTAGCACACTTTGAAGTTCTTTTTTTTTTTTAAAGATTTTATTTATTTTATTTTTTCCCCCCAAAGCCCCAGTGGATAGTTGTATGTCGTAGCTGCACATCCTTCTAGTTGCTGTATGCGGGACTCGGCCTCAGGATGAACGGAGAAGTGGTGCCTCGATGCGCACCCGGGATCCGAACCCGGGCCACCAGCATCGCAGCGCGCGCACTTAACCACCAAGCCACAGGGCCGGCCCTGAAGTTCTTTCTTAGAACCTTCTTTATCAGGTTGAAAAGGTTCTCTTCTGTACCTAGGTCATTGAGTACTTTTATCATGAAGGGGTATTGGAGCCATTATCTTTTTGAATACCGTCTCCTTTTTCTTCCGATACCCCTCTCCTAGGATTCTGATTAGATGTATGTTAGACTTTCTCATTCTGTCCTCTCTATCTTTTAAAATCTGTCATTTCTTCCAGCTCCTCATCTCTCTGTGCTGTAATTTGGGTAATTTCTTTAGATTCCTGTTCCAGTTTATTAATGTCCTCTTCAGCTGTGTCCAATCAGCTGTGTCTTAAAATTCTATATGGTTCTCCTTCAAATATGCTTGGTCATTTTTTATAAACTCTTATTTCATGCTCTTTTTTTAACAAGACATCTTTGAGATATAATTTACATATTATATAGTTCACCCATTTAAAGTTACAAATCAGTGGTTTTTAATATATTCACAAATATGTGAAACCACAACTACAGTGAATTTTAGAACATTTCATTCTCTGTTTTTTTACTCCTAAATATTTCAGTGTTTATTTCTTAAGAACAAGGACATTCTCTTACATGCTGATACAGTAATTGAAATCAGGAAAATTAATAATGATGCAACAATATTATTTAATCCAAAGTCCATATTCAACTTTTGACAGTTATCCTAATGATGTCATTTATAGTTATTCTCCCCTACTACCCTGATCCAGGATCCGGTCTAGGATCACACATTATATTTAGTTGCCATGTCTCCTTTAATATAGAAAAATTCTTTAGTTTTTCCTTGTGTTTCATGATTTTGGTATTTTTGAAGAATACAGGGCAGTTTTTTGGTAGAATG